AAGCTTCCAGGCTTTCTTGAAACAGGTGTTTACTATGGCTCATCCCAAAAAATATTCATAGTTAGATGAGCAAAGGGGTTTTTCCCTGATTCTCAGGAGAGGGAGAATCTGGAAATAGAAAGGGAGAAAAGTCTGGTTGGCCGAGAAGAGATGATTCCTCAAGAGACAGAAAGCATGGCTGCCCCTGACATTCTCCTGTTTGCTAATGAGGGCAGCAGTCCAAACATCACTTTCTTTGTACATAGATAGAGGCTTTGTCTCCATGGCAGCAGGCCCATGAAGGGACTGTGGGTGTCATTCCCTATACAAAGCCCTTACTGATCCCCTTATGGCAGTTGCAGCCCATCCCTTAGCAACTGCCTCCCTCTCACTGGGCATTTCTCCCTTCTGAGGGTGCAATCCAAAGAAAGCAGAGTACAGGGAGATTCAACCCTCAGCAAACTGAGCTGGGAGGCTCTCTTCACAGAGAAATCAGGGAAGGAGCAACCCCGAAAACAAAAAGAGCTGCAGGCCAAGCAAACACTCCTGAGAAGATGCTTGTTTTATTCTGTAACAATCCCTGAACAGAGAGAAACACCTGGACCAAGCAGGAGTATTGAAGCTTTATGAAAATCCGAGCCTCTCCCTGCTTGTTTGGAGGAGCTTAGCCATTCTGCAAAAGACCAGCACTGGGATGGCAACCCCTTTCCTTGGGATGGAATTTGGATAATGATGTCTTTAATGTTGGTCTCATTCACACATCAGAACATACCGTACTGTATTGGTTATGAGGGTAGATATTTGGCAGCTTTTTTGCTTTGTAAACCATGGTTTATAGCTTGGTGGTTTTATTAACTGTGTTAAGCGAACTCTGATGTAAAGTAAGTACCCTGTCAAAAAGTCAGGCTAGTTTGACTAGTTTGAGCAGCTTTCTCCACTGAGTCTCCCTTAGTACTATGGAAGGAATCGCTAATGATTGTAATTCAGAAATGCGCAGTGAATACCGTGTTTCTCACAAAATAAGGCCGGGCCTTATTTTTTTTTGACCCCCCCCCAAAAAAAACGGCTAGGCCATCTTTTCGGGGGTGACTTAATTCCTCCCCTTGCATCCTCGGGCGGGCGGGTGGCGATGGCTTGGATGTTGACTCGGCGTTGGTGGGGCACTTCGTATCGGGAAACCTGCCACCATTGCTTTCCCTTCTCCCCATGCTGCTGTGGCGTTTAAAGCAACGCCGCGGCGTTTGGCGCAGCCATGCGTGGCCAGCCAGGGCTCCTCCCTGCAACCATAGCCTGGCAGAGACACTCAGCTTCAGGCGCTCCTGTCGCCGCATTCCCTTCACCTTCAAAGGCAAAGCCAATTCTTTTAAAAACGACGCCCTAGGAGGAGCCCTGGCTGGCTGCGCATGGCTGCGCCAAATGCTGTGGCGTTGTTTTAAACACCACGGCAGCATGGGGAAAAGGGAAAGCAACGGTGGCAGAAGGTTTCCCGATACGAAGTGCCCCACCAACGCCAAGATCAACGCAGGCAGCACCATATCCGGGTATGCAACAAAAGTACTTCCTAACGGCCAGCCCCCCCGCCATTCCCCCCATTTCGCATGTTTAATATAGGCCTTAATTTGGGGGGAGGGGCTTAATTTGATTTTATGCCTATAAAGCATGCTGGGACTTCCTATTGGGGGAGGCCGTATTGTTGGAGAAGCACGGTATTAGATTTGTTTTCCCTTCCCACATTCCTTATGTTGTTGGCAGAAGTATTTCCCATCACTAAGTAATTGACATCTATGAGTAAGAACTATGTACAAACAAAACTCATAACAAAACATTCTGAACTCACTCATTCACACATCCCAGCTGAGTAACTAATTGCTATTATTTGTATCCACTACTCACGTCTAAAAATAAGGTAAAATTCATCCTTCTAAGAGAGATATTCTGTTCATGCATAAGCTATAGTTGTAATACTGTCACATTAATATTATGGCTTACATTTATCTGCCTTTATTTCTCTTAAAAACTCATGATAGTGTTCGTATTCCTCCCTTTTATCCTCACAACTCCATGAGCTAGGCTACGTTGTGAGTGACTAATGGAGCTTATATTACCCAATTTGCCACATAGTTGAACTGAACCTTGAACACAAGTTTTCTCAATACTAGTCAACTATGTCAGTTTCAACAAGTATAGTTTTCTCCTGGATGAAAATGTAGTTTGGGAAAAATCATATTGTGACCTATTTAGATGTTATACAAATAAACATGATGCTAGACAGTGATTCCAATCAACTTTGGAATTACAAATCCAGTAATACTGGGGCATACCCAAACTAGCCAACCATGTTTTATTTCAGTGAGTTGAAAGCAACCCAAACAATGTGGCTAGTTTATGCTTCAGCTTTGTGCAGTCACAATGTGGTTGACTAGTTAAGTAACCCTTGAAAAGCTTGTCTTGCAAAGACAGCTGCTGATAGTAAGAAATCACTAAAATGGATCCTGGGACAGATAAGTCCTTCCTCATAGATTTTCAAGCAAAGGCTGGATAATCACTTCTTAGGGTTACAGTACTTTCCTGCTTAAGACAGAGCATTGAATATTACACTATATCCCTGCATAGCTCTTCCAATTCATATTCTGTGCAGAATTATGACTTTATAGCATAAAAGGTAAGCAACTATCAGGAATTTTGATGTGAAAGCTTTGCTGTCAGCTATTGGATAGGAAGAAACTAATTGTGTTTTTCCTTGTCATATGACTTTAAGACAGGGTGAAATATATTTGTTTTTCAGATATTGGACACTTAATCAACCCCATAATAATGATTGGATTGATTGGGTATTGTAGTTTAGTACTATCTGAACAGGTCTCTAGCTTTAAGAGCTGAATGACATTCAGGGATGTTGAGTATTTCCCATTTCTTCATCTCCATGGCAAGAACAATTTCACCTGCTATTGCTCTAAATGTTAAAGTCACAAGATTGTCCAGAGCTGAAATTTAATTTAGATTGAATTGCTTGCCTGATAACCCTATTATTTGGCTGTATACCTGGAGTTACATTTCTTTTCTTTTGGACACCAGTGTTACTAGTCTGAGTTAATGATATTAAATCTCAGGAAATCAATAAATATAAATTTTGAGAAGCTAGTTTAATAAAGAAGAAATAGAGAAGACTAGAAAATTTCTTGACAGAGGCATCTCGTGTTGCTTAATTCAAGCTTGCTGCTCCTTAGCGCTACTTATGCTTCACCTCTTGTCTATATTCTTTGACACTTTCTTTTATATAGTACTGTAAACTACTTCTGCTGCAGCCAGCTGCCTGCAATTTGGCAGTTCAAATCTCACTAGGCTCAAGGTTGACTCAGCCTTCCATCCTTCAGAGGTGGTAAAATGAGGACCCAGATTGTTGGGGGCAATATGCTGATTCTGTAAACCTCTTAGAGAGGGCTGTAAAAAAAAAAACTATAAAGTAGTATATAAATCTAAGTGCTATTGCTATGTAAAATCTGTCAATAGGGCCTTGATCTGTGAGCTTAACGTAAGCTTTTCACAACCAAAACTGCTAAGTGTAAACTTCCATGGAGGCCAATTTGGTAAATAAATGGCTGCTTTCCATCTTGTGTGTTTTAAAATGTTTGGATTACACCCAGGTCATATTTCCCAGCTGTTTCCTGAAAGTGCAAAACATTTCAATGAGATTCTCAGTGTCCAAATCCTTTTTATATGGTGCTGATGCAATGAGGGAAAAAGCATAGAGAGATGTCACTATTGAACTTAAGTCTCTGACTGTCAGTCACCCACAAAAAGCTGTGCAGTACCATATAGTGACAAAAATTCATCATTCTGGTAAACATTTCATGTGCTACAAAAAATACTATGTATCAGACCTGCAAGTGAACTAGGCTTCCCAATAGGGTAAATTCTATATTTTTAATGCCACTTGAATATCCCAGTGTACATGAGAACTGGAAACCATATATCCACTACTATTAATCAATAATCTTCTACTTTGGATATCAGGGCTGTTGAACTGATTTATTCATGAAGTTACTTAATGCTCTAAAAAAAAGTTAGTTAAAATTTGAGAGAAAGAAAAAAGTAAATCCCTGATAACTACATACAGAGGTTGGGGGCAGGGAGTGTGAATACTCTTTATGTACAAAATGCCCCAAATATCATAATTTTGAACATGTCTCTTGGGCCTCTTAAGGACTTTTTGAGCTACTACTGGTTTAAAGTGAAACCTTAAGCTGGAAGAGGAAGTTTGCAGTGCTGTTGAAACCGACTCAATATGAACAGGTCACTTGTAATAGTTGGAATGAAGGTGGAGAGACATAACCAGGCTAGGAAACAGAAATGAAGCAGAATGACTTACAGGTAGTCTTGTTTTAGTGATCATTCCTTCAGCAACCATTCGAACTTACAATTACACTGAACAAGCGGTAGTTATGAGTGGATCTCATACTTTCGACCATCCCCGCATCCTGGAGTTACATGACCTTCCTGTCAGATTCCCACAACAGTCAGTGGAAAAGTTGACAGGAAGTAGGAAGTCATGGTGATGTGAGGTCATTGATTAATGAATGGCACAATCATACAGTTTTTCAACTTACAATTGCATTGCTTAACAGAGTTTCTGATCCCAATTACTGTAGTTAAATTAGGACTGCCTGTAGCTGTTTCTGCCAATCTAATGATTTCTTCATTGGCATTTCTTCACCGCTAACAATTTTGCAGCAACCAAAAACAACATGCATCTATGTAGACATCACCAGATAAGAGTTCGCAGAAATCAAATTGACCTCAGGTGGTCTCGACTTACAACCATTTGAAGTTATACTAGCACTGAGAAAATCGACTTACAACCGCTCCTTGCGCTTATGACCGTTGCACCATCTCTATGGTCACATGATTAAATGGCAACCAACATGTACTTATAACAGTTGCAATAGAGTCACATGATCATCTTTTACAACTTTCTGGGGGGGGGGAGCTTCCAAAAAGCAAAGTCAGTGGGGGAAACTGGATTTACTTAACAACTTAACAATTGTGTGATTTGCTTATTGAGTATGGCAGAAAAATGTGACAAAATTGGGCGTAACTTAACCAAGTTGTATTGCTTGGTGACAGAAGTTCCAGTCCCAATTGTGGTTATAAGTCAGGACTACCTTTATAGTATTGTCACAAGGAGGTGGACAATCTCAATTACAACAACAAAGAGCCAGGAGATAATTGAACAGATCATGTGCATGTTCCAAATGAAATAAGCAGAAGAACAAAGCCAAGCAGTTCCTAGTGGTACAATCTTGACCCATCATTTTGAAGGAAAACATCAGCCTTCACTTTGAAATTCTGAGCCTCATTAATAGGAACCAGAGGAATTGTAGAATGAAATAAGGAAGTTGGTAAAAATGAATGTGAACAGAGACTACTGTCAAAGGTTAAGAAATGGAAGAAAACAAACTGGATGCCCAACGGAACAAAGAAAATGTCAAGAATGCTGCCATTGATGCCACAATGACTTAATTGATTATACACTAAAGTAGATGGTAATGTGATGGTAGTCACTTGAAAGCATGGATAGATCAAAATAGCCCAATCTGAGGTCTTTAGTGTGAATTTAAAAAACAACAATTCCCCCTATTCCCCCCCCCCCCCATAACACAAGACACAGTGAAACCTGTTGTAAAATCCTGATTCCTTGGCTAGACAAGAATTCTAGTTCATACAACGTGGACAGATTCACTTTTTTGAGAAAAACACAGAATGATCAATTGTTCTACCACATTTTGAATAAAGTGACTAGAACCTTTTTCTACTTAGTCTACTCGTTTATTGAGACTAGGATAGTGCTGACTTTGTATACAAGGCTGTTTTGGGGGCAGACATGAAGAAGAGGACAGTAAGGTCCTGCATCAGTGCAGAATAGGTTAGTGTGTACTATGAACTCTTTTAAAAGAGGTGATTTCTCCGTTCTTGAAAGGGTTGCAAGTGGGCCTTTCCACAGCATCTTTCGCATTCAGAACAGCAGCCTTTCTAGTCATGGTAGATCAGGGGAGTCAATGGCACCCTTGGTAACTGTTCAGCAAAGAAGAGATAGCTATTGGTGATGCCTTGTTTGTAAGGTGTTCTTTTACAAGACAGTGCTGGAACAAGCAGATGATAGACACCAGGTCCCACCTCCAGTGTCCAGCTATTTCACCAATTAATACTAAAAAAAATCATCACAACTTTTGGTCTTGGGAAAAGGTAGCGGAAGAATTGCTGTTGGTCTGCCACTAGGGTGATTGAACTTAGCATGGCGTGCCAATGGCCCCTACAGGGGGAGGTGACTCTCGGGTCTTGTCGAAGAAAATATTTGAGGACATCTCGGTTTTGATTTTGCTTTCAGAACCACCATCACTGGAAGTTGTTTCTTGACCACATTCATCACAGCAGCAGCAGCAGCAGTCCATGAAGGCCTGCCCCAGGGGTTTGCAAAGGCACAGTAAAAGCACAGGAGTAACTGAACATTTGAAGAACAGGAAGAACTGGTTGACCAAGCTTAATAGGTCCAGGGTCTGTTTTGTCATGTCGGGAGACAGATAGGCCACAACAATATTACTGACATTTTCAGGAATGGTGCAGAGACCATAGATCACTGTCAGGCCAATCACTGTGCAGTTGAGTTGGCTCTCACACTGCCCATGCTTATTGCCACGGCATTCCGTCTTCTCTGAGCTGCTGATCCTTCTGGTGACCAGCTGGCAGCTGACGGTAAAGAGGATTGGCAGGCAGAAGTAGCATCCAAAATACCACCACATCCTAGCATTCTGATAAGTGAGAACCAGAGAGTAAATGGACTCAGGCAGCTCCTGAAAAGGTTTCATTGTGCAGTAGTCAGATACTACACCAGAGACTGGTGAGGTATCCTGTGCCAGCTGCCAAAGAAGGAGCTCTGGGATTGAAAGGGTCATGGAACCCACCCAAATGACAGCCAGCTTGGCAATGATGGAGTGGCAGTGTTCAATCGGACGGAGCTTGGCTTGAGGGCTGGTAGCCGCATGGAATCTGTCAATGCCCAAGGCACAGAGGCTGAAGGTGGTGATTCCCAGAGAAGTCACCTAGGAGCATAACAAAGAGAAATGGTTGAACTGAGATGGCCAAAGAGAGAAATAAAACATTCGCCTCTCCTTAACTTTTAAGTTAGTGAGAAAATACAGACTTTTTCAATTTTGTGCAAAAGGGTTTCAAAGAAAAAATAAACCCTGTCTCTAGCACAGAAAATTCATTTACCATGCAGACTAATGCAGATCCCAAATTATGCCAAAATAAAATGGGATGTACAAAACAGGGAAAGTCATTCCAGTCCCCAGCACTTTTAAATGCTTCAGGAGCAACCATACAAGTTTGTGCAATAATTCTCTAGAATAGAGATAGCAGCACGGGAGATGGCAATACCCCCAAATGAAAAGATGCATATTTAAATATTAGTGTCTGTTATGAGAATAATGATTCCATTTATTCCAATAACCTGAAAAGAATAAGTCACATTTGGGGGACCAGCTCTACCAAGGAATGTGTCTGACTTCATATATCAGCTTTGAGCATTTCCATGTGGAGTTGATGCTGAAGTTGTGTCATACACCATGTTTCCCAAAATGTTTCCCTCCATTTGCCCCAAAGGTGATTTTTTTCAAGAGGCAACTGGACTTTCTGTTTTTTTCTTTGAAGATGTTTCGCTTCTCATCCAAGAAGCTTCTTCAGCTCAGAAAGTCCAGTTGCCTCTTGAAAAAAGCACCTTTGGGACAACCATGATCTGGATGACTGAGAATCTCCATAAACATTTCTCTACATTTGTTTAGTAACTAGAAGTATCAGCATGGGAGCTGCAATTTAGTAAAGATTGCTTGTACCATTTAAAAACAAGCATATTGACTTTCCTTCACCATGAGGATATTAAAAAAAGCTTTTAACTCTCTCTTGACTATCTTTCCTTAGCTACTTCCCAGGTCTTTGCAATGTGTGAGGACATTTTGATTCCAACATCGTTTAACAAAACCAAATGTACAGACATTGATATGTAGTTGATTTTCTGATTCTTTATTTGATATTAAATTATTAAATATCTATCAAAGTTACAATCTTGCTTCCCTGCTTCATTTATTCCAATTAGTTTCCCCTCTTTTATTATTTCCATCCTTTTTGGATTCCTTATATTCAAAGTGAGCAGAAGGAGACTTAGAACCTTGATGGACCTTTGAACAATTGGCAGTAAATCATAAAAGTTACGAACTCCTAACGATAAAGTAATGTTAACAGCAGAAAGCCAATTCTCCTCCTCAATTAGAGTCCTAAAATCAAGGGTGGGTTTGTTAGGAAAGAGAAGCATGTGAGAATTGTGATAACAGGACCCCATTTTGGGAGCTAGTACATTTTCAGATTGCTTTATACTCATTTCAGTTTCTACACATCACATAAGTTCTGTTTTACAGCTGGCTTCATTTGGCTCACATGAAAATAGATCTTGCAGATTTAAAAACAGTTTGGCACTGTCAGCATTGTTTTCACTTCTATTTTAATTTTTAATAACAAATGCAGAAGGGATGCACCTGTTACTTCTTTGCAAACATTTTAAAGACTATAATGTGAACATGGAACGAATTTCTGCCGACTATGACATCATTCTTTGTCTTTCTTCAGTATCTCTGTCTCATCAGGTGCCAGAACATGGCTCAGAAGCTAAGCAGTTTCAAGCCTATCTTGTTCTTAGATGGGAATCCACTCATCCATAGAAAGTTTTAAAAAATCCCAGGAGAAAGCAATGGCAAACAGTTCCATATTACTGTCAAGAAAACTGCATAGATATATCCATATGGTTGTTAGGAGTTGAACTGACTCAAAGACAATGTCCCTAAATAATTGCAGGATAAATACTATATTACTGTACAGTGACACTGCAAACAGTTAAGAGGATTGGAACATCTTTACTAATAAATGTAATTAAAAAGGAGTAATATGACAGATAACAGATAATCAAAGTTGGAAGGGATCTTGGGTCATCTAGTCCTACACCATTCCTGACAAATGGCAGTCCAATCTCTTCTTGAAAGTCTCAAGTGATAGCGCTTCCACATCTCTCTCCCTCTCCCTCTCTCTCTCTGTCTCTCTGTCTTACACACACACTCATTCTCTCTCTCTTCCTCCCTCCCACTCTCCCCCCCCTTTGTGTGTATCTTCCCAAGGATTATACATATAATGGAATATAGTTGAATACACTGTAGAAGGACAAAGTCAAATTGAAAATGTACCCCTGCTTAAAAAAACCTTTGGCCATCTGTGTAAATACTGTGGAAAATGTATATGGAAATGAAAGGATAGATTAGAATTTTTCCCTTATGGTTTGCATGATGTTCTCTATCCCGCCCCCAAAATCATTCTACCAAAATGGATGTGTCCCTAAAAGCTTTTTTATCTCCCATGTCCCATCCCTTTATTCTGTTCCTTGTATATCATGCTTCCCTGATCTACATGCTTCTTTTTACAGAGGGCAATTAATAAGAACAAACCAATGGGAGAAACACCTTAGAAGATCAGGAGAGATAGTACTCCTTAAGCAACCTTTGGTCCTTTCCCAAAAATTCACTGAGTCAAAATGCATCTACTTTCTGAGCATCAAATGAGTTAAGTAAGTTTGTTGATGTCCCAAACTATTTCCGCTGCATTCAGAATCCCAGGAAAACATACTTGTCTGCCAAAAAGGAAGATGGCAAAGCGTGGAGGAGAAAATGCCAAACACTGGGTGGGTTGGACAGACAATGTAGAACATGAATAAATATCAGCTGGGGGGTGGAGGGAGTGCTCGCCTCCTTGCACAACACTCCCCATTACAAATGCTGTGCTTTCCTTCAGTTCAGGAAATACTACGCCTCATTTGGACAGTTGTTCATAGACTGCTGAAGAGCTCTGGGCCCTAATTGCAGGCACCCGCTCACTTCTCTGAGGAAAAAGGGACATTCATCGCAAGCTTTGGAAAGAGGCTTATTTTCTTTATTCTGCCTTCCCTTCCCCCTCTTTCCCTGTCCCATGTCCTTTGAACTGCTGCCAAAGCAGCAGAATACAGAGCAATTCCAGGGTACAATCTCCCATGGTGTTTATTAAAACTATGAGCTTTCAAGGGATGCTTTAAAAAATTGAGGCAAGGCCATATTCCTACTTGTGGTCATCATACTGATGAATACTAAAGAAAGATGGGGTTTATGGAGAGTTTGTTTGAAAAGCCAATCCAATTAAAGAATTTGATGTTCCAAGCAGTTACACTATATGGTTTGAAAGACTTTGTAGATTATTGCAGAGGTTGCTTGGTTGCTTCTGCTGGATAGTACTATGATGTCTGAATCCAGTTAGCTTGTACCATCAACTGTTTCTAAAATATACAGAAAGTTAAGATGTTTCAAGATGTTTATGGAGATTCTCTGTCATCCAGGTCATGGCTGTTCCAAAGGTGCTTTTTCAGAATTCTCTCATCCAAAGAAGCTTCTTGGATGAGAAGTGAATTGTCGTCAAAGAGAAAACAGAAAGTCAACTTGCCTCTTGAAAAAGCACCTTGGGGAAAGATTTCAAGATGGCTACTTGTGTTAAAGTAATGCAGAAAACAGGAGGATGTCTTCTAAATGAACAATCCATTAAGGTGCAAATTGTCATTTGAAACTTGACTTCTGCTGTTTTACTATAATAGTATGATCCACTATAACACTTTTTTTTGGTGTGTAGCTGCCTTTGAGGAAGAGTTGACTTCTGGTGAATGCTTGGACTAATCCCTACAGTTTTCTTGACAAGGTTTTCATGTTTGGTTGAAATTAAGGGGCATCTGGAATAAAATTCAGGTATGAAAACCTTTGTGGAGAAAATACAAAGCTACGTAAGATTCAGAGAATTGGTCTATAATGGAATTGCAAATTTGCAACAAGGTTCCTGATGTGGCAGACAGCAGAGAGGGCTATCATTAGCAAAGCAGCTGCAACAAAATCTAGTTCCATTTAAAATAACTGCCCTTATATAGATGCTATCCAGATCTCTTAAAGTAGATTTCTACATTTTATCACATTTTATAGAATATTCCTATGGGGTTTCTTTTATGAAGAATAATCCAAACCTACAATCTTTCGTCTACAACCTGAACAAGTTCCTGAGGAAAAAAGAAATGCAGCATGTGATAATTGCTGCTTTGATAGGAAGCTTTTTATATAACTGTGCTTAGAATCACAGCCATAAAGTTATTGGCATAACAGGAAAATGTTGGAGTCTATTGCAGGTCTTGAATTAACAATTCAACTGTCAACATTGTAGGAGCATCAGTGCAAATATAGCCATCTGGGTTGAGGACATCAGGAGAATTTGGGTGATATATCTATGCAGGTCTGCAAATTTGTATATTTAATTAACCAAGGACAAAAAAAATCAGTGAACAGTTGTTCCTATATGTCCTAAATGTTTACTGTGACTCCATTGATATGGATAGAATTATCTAGTGTTAATTTTAGACAATATTTTGTTATGAAGCTATGAACTTTTAGGATATAATCTATTAGTTATTCTGAGATAAATAAAACAGGTGCAAAAATAAAGACATATTCAGTGAGATGAGGGGAAGTCAGTAGTGTTTATATAAGAGCCATGTGGCGCAATGATTAGAATTCAGTATTGCAAGCTAACTCTGCACTCCATTGCCAAGAGTTCAAGTTTGATTCAGCCTTCTATCCTTCCAAGGTAGGTAAAATGAGGACCCAGATTGTTGGGGGCAATATGTAAATGGCTTAGAGAGGGCTGTAAAGCACTACGAAGTGATATATAAGTCTAAATGCTATTGGTATTGCTAAGGAAATTTTCTGTGAATTTTATGAAACTATGAATCCTAAGGCAGCTCATAGGTTGAAAGGAATATAGCATGGCAAAATGCAACTCTGGTTTTGCCATTTTTCCACTGCAAATTATCCCTTTCAAGCCACCTTTCCTGTTTTCTGATATGGATAGCTGCATGTCTCTTAAATGCAAAACCAAACACAATGATACATAATAGTTTTTGCAAAAGAGAAGCTATTGGTTCATAGAATTCCATGCAGAATTGCAGATGTCCTTTTTCCCTAGAAGATTAAAACTTGCCAAAATAAACAAATACATCAGTGAATATCAGAATGTGGTAGTTTAAATCAAATAATGCTCTTCAACCTTTCATAGAAGCAAAATCAAATATTCTATTGCCCTATCTAACAAGAAAATCATCTGAATGAATAAATATGAAGATGGCCAATGCTTAATGTTAGTAGGTCTATTACATCTGGACTGCAAAAACCCTTAAGATCACTAGATGGTAGCAAAGCATTAGGTTATTCACTTCTCTTTGCCACCATCTACTGTCATGTAACCTAGATCTTGTAACTCTGATTTAACTTTCAACCTGATAGGAGAAAACTGCATAGAAAACCTAAATCTGCCTAGACTCTTCACAGTTCGTGTGGTTTCTGGCAGTGATAGGATGTGTTGATTGCAAGAATAAGTATGATTGTGTGTTCTTATTTTGAAATGGGCTTTTGATGTGTCCAACTGTTTGTGGCCTTGTCACATTACATCAGACTCATTGTCTTCCCTGCCTCCTTCATGTACTCTGCTGTCCCCTTAGTCAAGCTCTGAATCATTCACAGATGTCCATCCCCTGCTTTGCTCTCATATCCTCCTGCACTGAGCAGGGAAGCTATAGAAATTATGTTGAAACATTGCAGTTTCTAAGGAAGGACAATCTATTCATTATGTTTGATAGAAAATGACTTGTGTACAAAGGATCTGAATGTTCACATCGGATACATTACAATCCATTTTCCGTCTAAACAAACTTTATTTTCTGTATGTCTAATCCTACCTCATTCCAACTTCTTTCTTCCAATTGCTTTCTTGAAGACAGAAGGAACCTGATCTTTTGAAATTATATCTTAGATATTATAGAAACACAGATACACACCCCATTGTTTCTTGCTTTGTAAATGCTCCAGTTTTGCACATTAATAGGATGGTACTATCTTATAGTATTTTTTTAAAGAACTCACAGTTCAAAATTCATTAAGAAGATTCAACAGAAAATGAGTGGAATGAATCAAAGATATAAATAATAACGAAAGGAGTAGATAATTGTTTCAATTATTTTATTTTATTAAATGTGTATGCTGCTTCTTGATTTTCCCAAGATGTCTTACATAATATTAAATATTTAAAAAACTTTTAAAATAGTCATTAAAAATTAACAATATCTATTTTCATATAGCACACTTAACCAGATTACTTAAAGCCTACCATACAGCATTCTAAACTTGGTTTCAGATAGTTAATTTGGTTTGGGGGTTTTAAACTATTGGTATGCTGATAATTCAATGTCCTTGAACACAATTGTACTCGAATTACAGTATGGCACAGGATCTAATGATAATTCTGAAAAGTGTTGCTGTGTTGACAAAAAATGCCAACCCACAGTTAACTTTATTGAGTAAATCATGATGAATAGATTTTTCTCCATGACAATCTGTTAGATGGAATGGTTAGATATGACTCCGACTTCTATCTTCTGTTGTCCCACATCCACTATACAATATTTTCTTTCCTGTCTAATAGAGTATAAGAGATTGAATCTATTCTCTATTTCCCTAGAGGCCGGGACCATAATCAATTAGTTAAATCTATAAGGATGTAGATTTAGGCCAGGTATCAGGAGGAATTTTCTGACTCTGTACACTATGCAGTAAACCAGCGGAACAGACTGTCACTGATCCGTTGTCTAGACAGAGCATGGATAGTGGTGATCTCTCAGTGATGCTCTAGTCTATTGGAACTATGACACTGAGCTAGGTGATTTCTGAGATCCCTTCCAATTTTGTAATTGTGTATGTCAAGACATGATTCCATATAGCCTAATCTAAATAGATATTTTTCCAAGTAAAGATCACAACTTGATCAAAGGTTGGTGTAATGGTAGCACAGATCCTGTAAATTAGTTTCAGGCTCAACCACTTTGGCAGGTTTTATTGGTGCTGCTCTCTGTCTCTGCCAGTGATGCTTGGTTTTGGCGTTAGGAGAAGTGAGGAAGAACCAAGAGAAGAGACAGTGTGCCTGATACCTTTTAAATTAAATACACTGATTTTTGGTTGCAGAATAATCTAACCTTGCCGTGAGATGCTCTTTTGTTTAAGAACACTGAAGCTGTTCTGAGAGTATTTCTGAGAATATTATCCAAGATCCTGTGGCACCGTTGAAAGAAAATTTAAATGGCCTTCATCCTGCCCTTATTAACAAAGACTCCATGGTAATACATTTCAGCCAAACAGATTTTCTATGGAAACTCCACATCATTCAAAACACAACTCCTCCTTTCGTCTCCTTTTCATCTTAGGAGAAGCCCAACTCCTAGGGAATTCATGAGGAAAGACATGTAACCTTCATGAGTCGCAAAGCTGAAGTTATACACTACAGCAGGTTTTGTATAGATTTATGATCAGTTGTAAAGGTCACTTCGTTCAACATCTCCTTCTCTCAGCATATCTTTGTGAGATTAAGTTCAAGGATATTATATATACCCTAAACTCTCTCTCACTAGGTATTGCTGGATATAACCAGGGATGCTGATAGCTATAGACCCATAAATTATTCACCCTGGTTATATGTCTTCCAAATATTTTATCATTTATCTTGATTAAGGTAGTTAGTAACTTTTTATTAATTTAAACAGTCCCTGAGATTTTTAAAAATGAGAATAACTATTGTTGTGATCTCAGAAGAAATTCAACGTTTTCAGGCAATGATTCAATGACAGCAAAGCCTTTACTTGCTATCATTTTGACCTATTAAAAGTAAAATTCTCTGGTTCAGGGAGAATAATTTAAGGAAGACCATCCTTTCACAGATAAATGGTCTTCAACCAATTACAAGTAATAATCTTTTACTTCTAGAAAAAAGCATGACTTGTTTCCTTCTTCATCCTGAGTTCCTGTCCACTTCCTGCCTGTGGCTGTGGTGAGCAGGTATAAAATCTGAAATGCATTGCATCCATTGGGCAAGAATTTCTCTTAGTCTGGCATTTCGTTTCAAAATTCTCTGGCTTAAATTATAGAAGAATTTTTACTCGGTGTAATTAAATGTGCATGATTTCTAAAGAATGGTGGCTTGAGTCTAGGTCTCGAAATGTCAGGCTACAGGAGGCCTACACCTGCTAATTATAGATTCAGCACAAGCATTAGGTGCACTTACTCTTTTTAATTAATATCTTCTCCTTTTTTTAGGTGATTTTAAAGCCCCACTTTTATAAACTTGATGTGAGAAGTACCTCGTTTTCATTTATTAATGCAGCATCCCCTAATCTGTTGTTCTCTATACATTAGTCTTATCTACATGGAAGATACCAAGCTGATGGACAGTCTATTAATGGTTAGAACATTAATATTAATGGTTGAATAATTAATATTAATTATTAATGATTGCATAAAAATTTACACATGAATATCTCCTGGAAATATAAGCCACATCTTCCACTTTGTATCTCTGGGGTCAAAACAGAAACATTCTTCTCATCAAATAATTGGCATTGAAATAAGCATAACTGTGCTTGCTTCCATTTTTACCAAAGGCATTTTTGTCATCCTCTCTGAAACAGAGATGGTGTTTTATATAGCTCTTCAATCAATCAGCCCTCAAACTTGATATTAGGAAAACTCATCTTATTGAGGACAGGTAAAGTAAAATGACATGGGATTAAGTCAAATTCAAAACATAAAGCTGGCCAAGCACAAATAACATTATCCTTCTCTTCCTCAACTGAAGACACAAGGTTGTTGATGATACATACTAGAGGTTAGCAGCGGAAATTCTTACCTCCATGAAGGGCACAAGGCGACAGGAGAAGGTTCCCAGTAGTCTCTTCTTGGTAATTTCATTAAAGATGACCACAGGTAGGCAGAAGAAGAGGATAAGGAAATCCCAGAAAGCAAGACTGGCCAAAATGGAATTCCAAGCACTTTTCATATAGTAATTATGCCAGACAATGCACATGACCGAGAGGTTCCCAACAATGCCTACAGCAAAGACAATGAGGGACAGGAACATGACAGCATAAGCACTATAAGAGCTTTCTGTCACTGGATAGAGAGGGTTCTGTATCTGAAAATGCTTTCCTAGTGCCACAGTCCTATTAACCTGGGCCGCTCTATCACCGTAGACTGCCGGGCTCTGTTGGTGGGGTTCAAAAGGATCTGTGCTGGATGGAGCTGGAGGCTTCATTGGCTGTGAAGTGGCTGGGTTCGCAGGCCGAGGAAATTCTACTTTGACTCCTGGAACATACTGCTGAACTGACTTGGCATCATCATCTTTTGCTCCTCTGCGTCTTCTTCTCCACCTCAGCTGCTCTTCTGAGAACTGTTGCTCTTCGTGGTTGCCGGTCAGTCCTGAGTCTCTCTTCCTGCCCGGTTCTCCAAGTACCTCCATCAGGACACCTTTGGAATTGATGTGTCTTTTTAAGTGATCTTCTCCAGCCTTTGCCTCCATTCTGGAGGGTGCGTAGTTTTCTTCAATAAACGGGACAGCTCCTTCTTTCATCAGGGCTTCCAGTAGCTGCAGAAAACTAAGCAAAAGCATACCCGTCCAAGGGAAAGACATCCTTCTTTCTGCAAAACAGAGGTAAAGAGAAGAGATGCGGAGAAAGCAATTCACCAAATGAACAGAGATGTCACTTCCCTCAGTGAGAAAAGGAAAAAAGTTTCTTCACTTTGACTTGTGGCCTTAAAGAGGGCCGGGGGCATGGAAGAGAGTAAACGAGGAGATTGGAGTTTCAGTCCAGCTTGAGCGACGACAAAGAGGCACTTTGGTCTGCTTGGCCAGCTCACTGCTGCTGTTTATTCCCTCAGATCGTTGGGCAGAATTAAAAAAAAGAAAAAAAAATCAGTAATTCATTTCAATCCTCTTTTGTTGGACCACAGGCCCCCTGGTGGCCAAGCTACAATGCCTAGATCAAAAGCCTCACAGGCCTTGAGCCAGGGAAGGAAAGAACCACCTGCTTTAGCCATAGACCTTGGTGCAGATAATTCTATTTGTTTTGGTTTTTTGTTTTGTATATTTGTTTTGGGGGTAAAAAGGGTATATTTCGGAAAGAATCTCTCTGAAGATTCTTCAGCCTCTCACTGAAATACTTCCCTTAGGCCAAACTCTAGAGAAATCCAAACTCTAGAGAAATTCTAATATCAGTTTATGTTTTTTGTAGAGATCCTAGGAAGATGCTTTGAACAAGGACAAAATAAAAGAGACATGCGTGTGACAGTGCATTAGCTTTCACAGCTGTCTGTGAGGGAACAGTTCAGAAAATCAAGCAGACATGCCAGGACTGTTGGTTGAGTAGACCAAAGAATCTTTAGAAAACTTGCCCTTAAGCCACATATTCCAAGAATATTTACTTTATGTACATATTACAGCATTCTACCCTGTCATTTTTCCACAATGTTGGACCTTCAGTTTTCCTTATTGCTGAATTCTACCCCCTTTCAAAGTAATGTAACAATTACAATTGGATTAAGACAGAGAATGACTCTGATTTATATCCTGATCCTGATTTTGCCATGAGAACTGAATTCTGCCACTGGATAGGTTCAATCACTATCTGACAGCCTATGTCAGTCCCAAAGATTTACTATGTGGATAACATTAGGGAAGGCAAATATTATGTGCTCTATGTGGAACTGATGGTGGAATGATGAGATATAAATCCACACATAAAAAAATACCAGCCTCTGTTGCTTGGTATTATATGGGTTTCTCTCTCAACTTTACATATGATAGCATAGCTAAACTATCAAAATGCAATTGAGATGCCTAATCTAAGATCGGGATGTGGTAGAGACAGTGAGCTCTCACTCTGTCTCAATAAGGCTTACTTCAGCTTTCTAGATGTCTTAAGAAACTATTCTTTACATCAATACAGCATTTTTATCTATCCTTTTATCATTTTGCTTCAAGAAATGTCATCTATATTCTGTATCCAGGCAATATGCTCAATATTTTAAAACTGAATTGTATGCTAAATTTTTCCTCTTCTGCTTAAATTGCTTGCTTCTTAAAGGACCATACCAAGAAAAGTTCTAATTTTGTATTGTGATCCCCTAATGTTGTTGTATCTGGCAGCTGAACCAGTGTGTTTTCAGCTCAGCTGTTTGTGCAACCAGAAATAATGTAAGTGTGGTTTTCCAGTTGAATCACTGGAACTTCCCACAGCTTGAGAATGGACCTTTTTTTTTTTTTTGCATTAAATTATCGTTCTTGTCATTCCAACTAATGTTGATATAGCCTGATCTGAATTTTTATGTGACACATCTGAAATGCAACAGGCTGGACAAAAATGCTGTGTATAGAATAGACAAACATGGATTTTTCAAATTCTGTTCCTTCTTGCTGCCTAGTGTATAGAGAAATCAATGGCATTTTTTTATCACTTGCATGCTTTGTTTCAGGAGGCAAAAGATTGCACTGGTCTCAAAGTTCTTTGATTCCCACAGTACAATACTGGAAATGGCATAATAAACACACAAACAAATGGGGGGAAGGGGGGAAGGGAGGGAGAAAGAGAGAGATTATGTCATGTAATCATTTAATTCTATCAACATTTTGGGGAAAATAGACTTAGTCTCTATGTAATGTCCAATTTGCTGGTTGGGCCCAGAACATCATAGATGCTATATTATCCTCAATTGGACAAAGCCAGTAAAATATAGTCCAATCTACATTCTATAAAGTTGGAGATAAGCAACAGAAAGCAACAAGACAAGAAGTACAAGGATTAAGAAGGTTCTGCTTATAGACATTCAAGCACAAGACACAATGTCTTGTCAATCTCTTCTTTGCAATGTACAAAATGTCTTCAAAGAAAAACCAGAAAGTCCAGTTGTCTCTTGAAAAAAGCACCTTTGGGCTCTTCCAAGTACTCTCTTCCCCATTGCCCTATTCAATCCTGCATTCCTTCCATAATTCTCCTAGCAGACACTCCTTTGGCAACTCTGCTTCTGGACATCAAAGGGAACAAAGATAAGGAGAATCATCTCAAACACCCAGAATGTTACAGTAACAAAGAGTTCACAAGAATACAGCCCTAGCCATAAGAGTTTTTCTTGTTATGTGTGTGTTCATTCACACCTCTATTCTATGGCTCAGCTAGCTAAACTTATTCTTCCTCAGCAGTGAATTCACATATGACATGAGTAAACTAGCCTAGATAATGCTCCATTTTCATCCAGAGGTATAGTAGCCAACATGACCGCTAAGAGACAACTCTGCTTTTACTGGAACAAGTCAAGTAAAAGTACAAATCAAGAGTGGAATTTTTTCAGAAGAGGTTTTAATTGATATCCTAATAGGATTAAAGGGCAAAAAGATACAATCTCTAAACAACAGAAAATACAAAGAGTAGAGCACCTCTCCTGTGAGGCTCTGACAACCTCAAATATTCCTTTCACACACACCCCAAAGAGACTCTTGAGACACAACAAACATTAACATCCTACAAAGGGGAGAAACCTTAAAACTACCTATTAAGAAGTTGGTATTTGAGATACATATCAAAATCATTTGTACCAAATCTAAGGCTCAAGTCAGCAGTATAAGATATGCTGTCATGATTATTTTGGGGTCCTGCTTTCACCTTTATGTATAGCCCAGATTACCTTCCCCTTCCTTATGTTCACATCATCAACACACTTGCGCAACCCCACTGTTTTTCCTCCTATTTATTGATTGAAACTCTTGAAGGCATCATAATAAACATATCAAGATGGCATTTTGGACTAACTATGAAGCAATCATTCCCTAAGCAATAAAATTCTACATGTTATTTAACCATTAACAAAAGCCTTAGGAGGTATCAGTCCTTGTAAACGACAAGAGTTGATCATATGATCCAATCAGGCCATTTATAGAAGTGAGAGGGGCAGTTTTATTTTCCAAATAATATGCCTTCCCACATGGAAGAACCCTGGCATAATGGTTGTATTACGACAGATGTACAGTGACTTTTGCAGTTGCTCAACATTCAGATAATTAAAGCCTTGGTATTATCTCAGCTAAAGCCTCAGGCACTCCCTGTCCTAGCAAGAACCAGAGATGGAAATCCAACCTTAAATAATATGAATTACAAAAAGGTTGTATCATGAAGATTAACTGAAGCTTTTAAAATGGCACTGGCATGGGGTTTTACTTTGTCCATGCATGCCATCTGAATGAGGCAGCAATTTTATAAGTTATATGTGGTATGGGGGCCAGATAACTTGCAGGACTGCCTAACTTCCGTGGTCTTTGTCTGTCCCACCAGATCTGGATCCCTTGGTGAAGCAGGATCAGCTGCTAAGATGTAGGAAGCATACCTTCTCTGTCATGGCATTGCCTCATGGAAATTCAGGAGGTCCCACCCTGGCTCCCTTCTGCTCCTGCCCTCCACAGGCACCAGGAGCAGGATATTAGCGGAAGCTCAGTATGTGTGTCTGAGTACAGAGATTTTTTACAGGAGCTTTAACTTAGGTAGCTCATATAATTGATTCTAATTGTCTATTTTTACCTTCTGTTTGTCACTCAGAGAAGATAGGTTTTCCCTTTAGATTTATTGGGAGGCGGGATTTGTTTTGCATTATTTTATACTGAAGCTTGGAGGAGTGTTTCCTTCAGATAAATGATTATTTGCAGTCAGGTTTGTAGGAGAAAGGTTTGTGACTTTGCATTGTACGGTTCTGCCACAAATTTACTTTATATATCTATCTTTCAGGAAGAACTACTTGAGTAGAATCAATGGATAAGCCTCTGTTCCTTGTTATTAAACACCAGCAATAAGACCGTTTGGCTGCACCAGTTTCCTTAGGTTTGTATCTTTTCACCTCTGCTTTAAATATTCCCAATTTGTCCGCTGATCAGCAAGATTTGAAAATAATAAGCAAGAAAGCCCAAAGGCAGAGCTAGCCTAGCTGAACTGGGAACGCTCCCTAAATACCTTCCCTGAAAATGACACAGTAATTCAAGGGTTTTCAAACAGATTCAAAAGCTGTTAGTTAAAAACAGCTCTGATCAAGAAGCAAAGCCCTGGTGATAGGAAATTGGCTGCTTTTAAAATGAATTTGAGATGTTGTCTTTTTTTTGTCCTTTGTTTCTCATGGAACCCCAGAGAGGCCTATAGAAAAACCCTGTGCTACTTCATTCTTTCCCATCTAACTCAGGATTGCCTACTCCGACTTGCAAAGTCTCTCGGGTAGCTTTGTAGAAGCTTTTCCCATCTATGGTTACTGATCCTTTCCAAACAGCTTGTAAAGCAAGTTCAATAATTCAGAACTTTGAAGTGTTCAGAAATTGCAGGGAACATAAGAGCAGCTTCTCTTATTAATGTTTGTCTTCTTTACAGTGACCTAGAAATTGAGCAATTTCACCAAGGCAATTTCTTGTCATAAAGAGAACTATTTTTAGTTCACAAAAGGGTTACACAACGGGGCTGATGTGTCATGGAATTTCTGCAGTGACAACAGCCACCTATTGTTAAAGAAAGCTCCCAAAACTGACACTCCCACATGCATCCACAGGAGGTGGGGAGATGGACAGCTAGGACATAGCTAGGCCAAGTCTTCAAACCAAATTGCATTTATATTAATCTGAGTATTAGATTCGGATCCTGATTCTAACCTCATAATTTTCTGATCACAGCCTAGTGTTCCGAATTAACTTCACAGTTTAAAATTCATTCCCAGTGGATTTAAAGCTTTTGCCTAAAGAATTCTCGGCAAACCAAGGGTCGTTTGTTCACTGCGGCTCAGTGTATGTTTTGTAATTCAGAGCATTTGTGCTTGAGAACTACAGCATGACTCACCTGAGTAATTCTATGCTTCTGATATTCCAGGTGAGAG